TTTTTGCCACAATTTTGCCCATTCACTTAGTCTTTCAATATCCCTTTGCGATTTTGTGCTGTGATCTCCACTGTCTACAGTGCCACCTAAGTTTGTGTCCTCAGCATATTTGGATATCTGACTTTCTACAGATCCTTGTGGGACCCCACTGATCACATTCTGCCAATTAAGTGCCTCAGTGCCTGTCGATTTAATCATAGTTTCTGTCACCTGCCACTCAAACAATTTGTCAGCCATGTCAGTAATTTTCTGTGGAGTTGTACCTTTGACAGTCTTTTATGTGGAACTTTATTACATGCCTTATGGAAGTCTCTGTCAATAACATCCATAGACATTCCCCAGTCCACTACCGTAGTCACATCTTCAAAAAATTCAATAAGGCATAACCTACCTGTCATGAATCCCTTTGCTTCCAGGACATATTACTGTAGGAAGCTAATTTTTCTGTATTGTTCCAATTTTAATATGTTTTGCCAAAGCAAGCAATTTCCTGGACACAATGCAAAATACATTGCTGTTAGGTGCTTGTCCACCTCTCCCAATCTATGTTAAAGTTAAAATCCTCGATTTAATATGACTCTGGTTTTGCTGCACTTATATTTCTGCATTTATACAATCTAGTACTTCAGAGCTGCTACCAAGGAGTCTGTACACAACACCCTAATACAGCTTTAAATTCTTTATTGTTCCTCAGTTCCATCCATATGATCTCCACTGAATGTTTTCCCTTCATTATATCCTCCGTTACCATTGAAGTAATTTTGTTTCTAATTAGTAAGGCTTCTTCACTTCCTCTGCCATTTTCCCTCTCTGTCCTGTAAACCTGATCTGGTATATTTAGTTCCCAATCCTGACCATTCTGCAGCCATGTCTCAGTAATGGCTACTATTTCATAATATCAGATTTGAATTTTTGCCTTCAGCTTGTTTAGTTTATAACTTAAGCTCTGTGCATTCGTATATAGAACTCTTATCTGGCCCATACACTATCAATCAACATTGATGTTTTATTCATCTGTTTGTTATTTCTGTCTTCTGGTTTCATCAATAATCTTCTCATAGCTTTGTCGTCATCTGCTGTGCCTGAAGTAGGATTCCTGTCTATTTGTTTTTTTTCATTCCCTCATGGGACATGGGCATCACTGGCTGACCAGTATTTGTTGTCCATCCCTAGTTATCTTGACATTGTGTAATGCTACTTGATTTTGAAACTCCTCTGTTGACTTTCCCCTCCCCCTGTTTACTGGTTTAAAGTACTTCTGACCACCTTCTGCTAGGACACTGGTCCCAGATCAGTTCAGGTGGAGCTTATCCCAATACTGATGCTACTGCTGCACAAAATGGAACCCCTCTTTCTGTCATTCCTTTAGCCATGTATTTACTTCCCTAATTTTATCATCTTTATGCTAATTTACACGTGGCTCAGGTAGTATTACAGAGATTATAACCTTGAGGTCCTGTTCTTTTAATTTTGTTCCTAATTCTTGATATTCCCAAAATGGACTTTTTGTCTAGTCTTGCTGATGTTGTTGGTACCAACGTGGACACTGCCACCTGGAACTTTGTTCTACGTCCCAGGGTCCTGAAGGAGATAACTGAGAAGATTGTGGAGTCATTGGTGGTAAGCTTTCGGGAATCGCTGGAGTCAGGGAGGGTCCTAGAGGACTAGAAATGGCTAATGTAACACACCATTTAAGGGATGGAGGCAGAAGACAGGAAATTTTAGGTTGGTTAGTCCGACCTTGGTCTTTGGTAGAATTTTAGAGTCCATTATTAAGGATGAGATTGTGGAGTACTTGGAAATGCATGGTAAAATAGGGCTGAGTTAGCATAGCTTCATCAAGGGAAAAATCTTTTAAATTCTTTTGAGGTAACAAACAAGATAGTCAAAGGAGAGCTAGTGGACATGATTGATTTGGATTTCCAGAAGGCCTTTGACAAGGTGCCTCACAAGAGGCTGCTGAATAACATAAGAGCCCATGATGTTAGGGTCAAGATACTGGCCTGCGTAGTGGATTGGCTAACTGGCAGAAGCAGAGAGTGAGGATAAAGGGGTCTATTTCAAGATGGCAGCTGATGACTGACTGGTAGAGTTCCACAGTGTTGGTGGTTGGGACAACTGTTCATATCATATATTAACAATTTGGACAAGGAACTGAGGGTATTGATGCTAAGTTTGTAGAAGACACAAAGATAATTGGAGAGATGGGTAGTGATGAGGTGGTGAGGCATTTGCAGAAGACTTGTACCAGGTAGGGGAATGGGCAGAGAAGTGGCAGTTGGAATACAATGGTGGGAAAGTGTGAGCTTATGCAGTTTAGTAGGAAGAATAGAGTCTTAGATTATTTTCTAAATGGGAAAGGAGCATTTGAGGACTCTAGTTGTATACTTGAAGTTGAGAAGGATGGGGTGGGGGGAGGAATGTCAAATGAAACTTACTTTGTCTGGTCCTGTTAGAATTTTGTGAATTTCTGAGAGATCTTTGCTCATTCTTCTGAACTCTAATGAATATAGTTCTAAAAACTCAGTCTCTGTTAATATGTCGCTTCTACCATCCCAGTAATAGTCTGGTAAACTGTTATTGCATTCACTTCATAGCCAGAACATTCTTTCTCAAATAAGGAAATCAAAACTACACAAAATATTCCAGATATGGTCTCACCAAGGTGTTGTACAATTTCAACAAGACAGTCCTGCTCCTGTAACAAAGGGAGGTGTCTTAAACATTAATTCTCAACCAGCGTGGCTTCAGCCTACATGTTTAATTTAAATTTTGCCTGCCTTTTTCTTTCTCGACTATGTCTTGTTTCAAGATATTACCATTATCTTGCCTGAGCTTTGTTTTTTGATCGTGTGGCTTTGGTCTACCTGTTCTGCTAGCAGCTCCTGAGTCATCTGACCTCTCTGCACAGCATTCTGACTGTCTTCTCAATATCCTGCCTCCCCATCTGGTGCATCCTGTCTTGAGTCCTCCTTTTGGATCCTGTCCACATCTGTCCGGTAAAGCGCTGTGTAGTCTGATGCCAAGATTGTGACACAAATAACCTGACTACGCCAGATGTTAGTACAACTTGTTGATTAGAGACTCGGGAAGTCAGGTTAAATGATTTGTTTTGTTTATTTTGATGCATACTCAAGAAGAGCCATTCTTACCACTGAAATGTAAAACAAATTCTGGTTGCTAGTGAAATAACTGCACAGAGGCCAGTAACCTGTCACCAAGTCACCATTTATTTAGTTGTGCACTGTACACTGGCAGTGGCCAGCCAGCTCAAAGTCAGTCACCTGAACTGAAGAGATTCTAAATCTCTTGTTTATATTCTCATTCAAAATTCACATACATCAAAAACAAATCACATTAACAAGGAGCATCCGACAAAAAAATCTCAGTTCAAACAGTAGATTCAAGCCCACATGAGAAGAGTGTCTCAAACACAACACATGGCAAGGTCACTGTACATCAGGCAACTCAAAAAGCAGAAACGTTGATATGAATTATCATACAGAAACTCAATTTGGTTCAAATAGTAATACAAAACTTTACAGACAACCACAGTCCCCAGAGCTATCAGTCAGCCTTCTGCACACAACGGGGATACACACAGACATGATATGTGCACAAAAGCATACCCAGACATGAAGACACGGTCCAACACATGCGAAAGCCCAGTACACCCATGAAGGCACCACACACTCAAGGCACAGTACATCCATGAAGGCCTGGTCCACACACAAACGTTCAGTCTAGGAACCATCACTAAAGCGGTGGCACAAAGGCCAGATCCTGTTACTAAATCATCCATTCACTTTACCAATACAGCAGTACCACTGGCTGTAGCCAGCCAGCTTGGAGTCAGTCCCCTGAACTGATTCTAAATCTCCTGTTTATATTGGTCAGCCAGGGCTTTCCTGATCAGCTCAGGTCAACAATCCCAGTCAAGGATCTTTTGTAGTCAACAAGACCCACTGAAATCTAATCACTGCATTTACAGATACCAGGCTTTATACAAAACATTACACCAGATGTACAGTATTATGCTTTTTCTGTTGTCCAAATATTTTCAGGTATTGTCTAAATTTCACACGGCTGCATCTGCCTTGCTGATAGTGCAACTCCTGCGTTCCTAGCCTGCCTTTGCACATCTGTGGTCCCTATTTGGTTTTATAATACGATTGAAATTTAACCCATATCTAAATAAACTGATCACATTTCTTCAATAGTAGTCATTCACGACTTTAAGTGCATTTACCAAACTGAAATGTTCATCTTTTTTGAGTTTGAAAGACACGTTCTAATTTCAAGCTATATATGATTTTTTTTATTTGGAATTGCTGGTGAAGCCCACTTTAAATTCAGAACAGCAATGTTGTTAAATTAAAATTTGAAAATGTAAAATTCCGATTAAATGGAAATATGAATGTCTGTGCCGTCTTCCCACTACATTGGAAGGAACAAAGGAGTATTGGTACAGCAGTAGACGTTTTGATCATGATATTTTGCCACGCATGGCAGCACTTTATCAATATCCAGTATTTGAATGTTGTGGTTGTTATCCCTAATTCTAATTGTGTTTCACTGGTTATTAAGGAGCTGCGTGCAGCCTTATTAATTTTATTAGGCAGCTAAATCCAGTGATCAAATTTGAATTAATTTTGAGATGATAAAGAGACTTATTTGTACATGCCTTTCAGCTTACAGCCATAACAGAGGTGAGTACAGCCAAAAGTTTGCTTGACTGGCATTTATTGCTACAAAGCTGCTGAACAAAGTGGTTATTCCTAGTGGTTTTAGAGTAAAATTGTATCAAGATGTCACTATTTAACATTTATTCTCATTTTACGTCATTTCTGTATTGGTGACAGCCCAGGGGAGTGGTTCGTCCCCTTTTCTTAGAGCCCATCCAATTTTCATTCTGATTTCACAGAACAGCATTTTGGTCTCAGTGAAAAAAAAAGTTATTTTTAATAATGCTTGCTAAAGTGTTTTTCTGCCTTCCACAGGGTGTGCTACCAGACCAGAAGAATACTCCAGTCTACGTGTCATTTCTCATTGCTCAAGGTGTGACCTCGTTTTCTGGGATACTGTCTTACCCTTTTGATACTGTAAGAAGACGAATGATGATGCAGGTTTGTAGAGTAATTTGAAGTTTATTCTAGTACAAATTTTGAGTGGAAGTTTCCTTCAAAATGCTAGGACTGTATCTTTTCTTTTAGTTTGAATTAATGAATAAGTAGGTGGTAACATTCAGTTTCCGTCTCTAACTGGAATGTGGTGAGGATATAGTTTTTCTAGAAATACTCGTGTGTGTTTGGACAGACTTGGTTCACTCAACTGTATTGTAATATAATTTGGAGTCAGACTTTTGTTGTTTTTCTGCTGTCACAGACAAATTACTCGGACAGATTTAGCTACTGTTCTTGGCATCCTTAACCAAAAACTAAAATGCAGTAATATAGTTAACATAGAGATGAATCCAAAATTTTTGCATTTGTTGACTGTGTGAATGTTTTGGACATAGATGCTCGAACAGTAAGCTGTAAGATTCCACAGCATGGATTCACTTCTTTCCAAGTATTGCATTATACATGTAGATTTTCATTTTAGACAATAGTAGTACTTGTAAGACATAACTGAGATGATAATGAAAATATTAAGGTACACTTGTATTACAGGCAAATATGGACTAAGTGCTGATAAAGATCCTGCTTTAGCCAGTGCTGTATTCACTGGCAAAAAGTTAGCCATATGGAAGGACATACTGGATAGAGAAGCCAGCAACAGGAAAAATATATTCTTGCCCCGAATTATTGGGAGACTTCCTTCAGCTTACATAACTGTTCAGTGGACAGCTGTGAAAATGGAAGTAGAATTGTCTCAATTTAGGGATTTTCCTGTCAGGCTTGGTGATGGTTTCGTAATACTATCCCAGTCTGGTTTCATTAAATCACTGGGTAAAACAACAATTGACTGCCTCTAAGAGAAAATTCAGGTAATAAAAGGCCATCTGACACTTTTTTTTTCTTTTTTTTTTAAAAAAAAAAAAACCACAGCCAGGATTTTCACAAGTTGGCCTGGCTCAAGAGCCATGCTATTCCCATTTCTCAGTTTTCACCAACATATGATAAGGCTAAGGCAGCCAGCTTGCATGCAGCATTCCTGCCTTTACCAACTCAGTTGCAAGAATAGGTAGTTCTAACACTGCCTTCAACCCATCATGAAGTCCTTTCAATCAGGGATGAAAAATTTCTGCTATTTGGTAGAATTCTGACTTTTTGGAGAGTAAAAATCTGGCATTTTACTTTCTACCACCCTCACCAGGTCTACATGAGCCATGACTTAGCCGCTCTTTGAATCCAGATCCGTTCTGACTTTTGAGTTTGGGAAATGAAAAGGCCCCAATAGCTGCTGCATAACCTGCTGTATAACTTGCAGAGCATTTCCTTGTGGATTGTCTATCTGATGGGTCCTCAGCAATGGCACTTGATGTCCTGGACTGATGTAAGAACTGTGTAAGTGCCATCTGGAAACTTATAATAGCGCTAGGGCGGAAATCAGACCAGGAGGCGCCAGAGACCCATGAATGGGGCAACGTTAACAGGGGTGATTGAGATGGGATGCAGGTAGTCCAAGCTGTGTAGAGACTGAGCAAGTGAGGGAAGATGCCTGAGAAGGAATGCATTGGAGGCTGGGCAAGGGAAAGAGGCACCACAGAAGGGGTGTCCAAGGAAGGAAGCCCATGGTCAAGGGAAGGGTGAGACGATGTCTAGAGAAGGAGGTCATCCTGTCTGGGGAAGGATGGGAAGGTAAACATGGTATCCACATGCTTGTAGTGTAGAGTATGACAAGACAGTGTGCATCACTTAAGAGTTCAGTCCAAAGGTGAAGTGGTCAGTGATGTTGAGAGATGGATCCTTAGAATTGAAGATGCTGGAAAGTAGACAGTATAGTCACAATAAGAGGGCAGAGCTGGATATGGCAGGTGGTAGTAATTGTTTGGCAAACAGCAAGTATTAGGTGGTCTTATTGTGGGGGAGGGGTAGAAAATTAGGGTGCACCTGCCTCTAGAATGGGAGGGTTCTGGAGGGGATTCATTTAGGGACCCATAGGGAGAGCAGGAATGTCCATGTACATTACATCAAATCTTTGTTATCTGTAGGTCAAAAGGCGCAGGCCTCCTGTGTGTAACAAAAATGTGGATAGCGCTATAATTGGAATCCCCAAACAACCTCAAAGGAATAGTGATCTGTCAGGCCTTGTAAATTAGGAAAATAAAAATTGGGTCTGCAGCTGAGCTTGCAAGTATGAGTTGGTGAGTAGCGAGTCCATGTATAACAAGGAATCATTGTACAGTGGGGTCAGTGATAATGAGGGAAGGATCAAGGGTATTGGGGAGAAGCATTACAAGATGTTAAGACTATAAGAAATAGCAACAGAAGTGGGCCATTTGACCCCTTGAGTCTCCTCTGCCATTCAGTGGGATCATGGCTGATCCAACATTCCTCACATCCACTTAACTACATTTTTGCCGTAACCATCAATTCCCCTAATGATAAGGAGTCTGTCTGCCTTAAATATACGCGAGGATTCTGCTCTCTCTGCTGTCTGTCAATGAATTCCACAGTTTTAAATCTATCAATAAAGGAGCAGATAACCAGAAGCCAGGAAAATTTGAAATCACTGGGGTAATTAATTACTTGCAAATAAATGTGGAATCTCCTAGCTTAAGGTTGCATAAATTCAGTATCTACTATATGAGGAAAAGCTAGTGAATGCTTTTGGCTAAGTGTCAGTTTTGTTGAGCTTCTTAAGGGGTTTTTCTTCATGAGGCCTCAAGGGTTTTCTCACTGCATCTTACTAAATTCAACTTAACTACCCCTGACATTATGGTGTCCCTCCTGTCCAATTCTAGCCCCGTTTTACCACTCTGATACCTGGAACAATTTGCCTCTGCTGGGATATCCCAGAAATGGACCAGCATCTCTGGCATCAGTGCTCTAAAAAGCCATTGTCCACTAGGACAAACACTGTTAGTCCAGAGCTGCCCTGCACAGTTCGAGATTCACCCCACATATGGTAGATGAGGGAAATTGCCATCTCACTTTGTGGGTAGGGACCTGGAGGTCCTTGTGGACAGGATAGTGCACAGCTGTCAATTTTCACAGAGACCACCACACCTGGCAATGAAGGAAAAAGTCAGTCTCTTTCACCATTACATCAGCATAAATGCCATTGTTTCTTTGATAACACTCTCTCTCTTTCTTTCTTTCTTTCTCTCTTTCTGCTCCCACCAAGGCTCATGCTCTTATCACTCTCTCTACTGCATGCAACATCTTCCATCACTCACTGTCACTCACGAATCCTTGATACCATGAACCCTGAATGTGTTCTGCATTGCCTGTTCACTTGCTTGGGACATCTCGCCATTGGTACCAAAAGTAACAGTTATGTTGTTGACTTTCATTAATACCCAACCCCACCTCATTCCAGGAGGATAATGGCCCACAGTAGGGCATAAAGAGTCAGAATCTGTGGTGGGAAGCTGAACATTCAACTCCTCATCCCCATCCTCTCACCAACAGCCCTGAGTTGCCAGATGAGTGTCCAAGCTCCAGGACTGAGTTAGATGATTTCTTTGACTTACTATGCTGGGACCCTGACCGAAGGCAATTTCCCTTGACTTGGATACGGACTGTTGAAAACCATGATAAATTTCCTGCTCTTGTATATACTAAATAGCAAGACAATACAGCAGTACTATGAGCCTTGTATCTCTGGCTGAGGGGCAAGTTGCCAAAAGGCTGGGCAAGGCAAGGATGCTGTGAACATCCAGATAGTCATTCTTTAAGCACTAAGAGGAAGCAAATAGCCCAGATATGCATCCTGTACAGAGATGTGCCTCTAACTTCGATGTTGAGAATTCTAGGTGTCTAGTTTGCTTGCAGTGAATGGTAGGATAGAAAGCTTCATATTAATGAGGCAAGATGTTCAGTTAATAAGGTCATTAACAAGAACTCATAGGTCAGGCATTCTGCCCTTCTAACTAAAAAATGGTGTATATTGGAAAGAGTCTGGAAAAGTTAGTAATTTTTTTTATTGTATGTCCAGTTGCTGTTCCCTTGTCTATCAAAGCATTCTCTACTTGTGTAAGATATAACATAGTGTGGAGCTGGAGGAACCCAGCAGGCCAGGCAGCATCAGAGGAGCAGGAAAGCTGACGTTTCGGGTCGGGACCCTTCAGAAATGGGAGATAGGGAAGGGAGATCTGAGATAAATAGAGGAGGGGTGGGGCTGGGGAAGGTAGGTGGTATGGTGATAGGTGAGTGCAGGTAGGCAGTGGTGGGGGTTGGTCAGTGAGGTGGGAGGAGCGGATAGTTGAGAGAGAAGACAGGTTGTGTTGGGTCAAGGAGGCAGGGATGAGAGGGTGATAGGTATGAGAGAACACGGACTGGTTGAGGAGGCGGGGTTGGCCGTGGGAGATTTTGAAACTAGTAAAGTCCACATTGAGACCATTGGGTTTTAGGCTCCCAAGGCGGAATATGAGGTGCTACTCCTCTAGTTTCCGGGTGGCATTGTTGTGACACTGGAGGAGGCCCAGGATGGACTTGTCATCCAGGGAGTGGGAGGGAGTGTTGAAGTGGTTCGTGACTGGAAGGTGTTGTCATTTGTCGCAAACAGAGTGCAGGCGCTGTACAAAGTGGTCTCTGAGCCTCCGCTTGGTCTCACCGATGTAGAGGAGGCCACATCGGGAGCAACAGATGCAGTAGACCACATTAGCTGATGTGCAGGTGAACATTTGCCTGTGAAAGGTTTTTTTGGGTCCTTGGATGGAGGTGTAGGGGCAGGTGTAGCACTTCCTGCGGTTGCAGGGAAAGGTGCCGGGGATGGTGGGGCTAGTGGGGAGTGTGGAGCGGACGAGGCAGTCGTAGAGAGAGAGCGGTCCCTATGGAAGGCAGATGAGGGTGGGGAGGGAAATATATCCTTGGTTGTGGGGTCAGATTGCAGGTGGTGGAGAATGATACGTTGAATCCAGAGGTTAGTGGGGTGATGTGAGGACAAGGGGGATTCTGTCTTTTTTTTTTTTTTTTTGTGGAGGGGGGGGGTGAGGGCAGAAGTGCAAGAAACGCAAGAGATGTAGTTGATAGCCTTTTTGACCACTGAAGGGGGGGATGTTGCAGTCCTTGAAATACAAGGACATCTGGGATGTTCAGAAGTGGAACGCCTCATCTTGGGAGCAGATGCAGTGGAGACGGAGGAATTGGGAGTACCGGATCACCGCCTTGCAGGAAGGTGAGTTAGAGGAGGTGTAGTCTACTTGGTTTCTATTTGTATGTAGTTCTTAGCTTCATTGACTGACTGTGTTATATTTAGGAGATTCTTCCGGTTCCAGTGGAACTCCCCTAAATATGGCAGGCCATCAATATAGTGGCCAAGAGTTTCTAAAGACTAGATAGTCATCTCTGCAGCGTAGACGGGAGTTGTGTCTTGGGACCCTACAGAGTCCCTGACGTAGCTAATTGTACGAGAAAAAATGATGCCACTGGGCAATTCCCCCACATCTGGAATCCTCAAATTATCCATTGAAATCGGAGAATTCAAGTTCTTTGAAGACAAGTAGAGAATCCTGTGTGATAAAGACCATAAGATATAGGAGCAGAATTAGCCCATTCAGCCTATTGTGTCTGCCCATTCTCCTGTCTTCTCCCCATTAGCCTTGATCCCCTAACTAATCTAGAAAGAAAATATTTTGCCATTAAAACTGAATGAACAATAATCTCCCTTCGTAGGCAACTTGCCACAACCTAGCTTGAATCTTGTCACAACACCTGGAACTTAGTTAAGAGCGGCATTGAGTTGTTCCAGATGTTGAGATAAACCTCCCTGACTTTTCACTCAATTTTCTTACATTTCTTTCTTTTGCTCATGTCATTTAGGCTGCTATAACATTCAGTCCTAGGTCAATTGTTAAATTTAAATTTGAGATTGACATCTGAGATGCAGTAAAAAGGGTTGTAACCAGTGTCCCTCTAAATTTTTTTTAACCAGCCACACGAGCTGTGTGTAGCAGCGATGTCCGATCACTGCGCAGAATTTTGGAGCGGCAGCATGCACGCACAGCTGCATTTTTTACAGAAAACATTAGTAGCAGCTATCTAGTTAAAATCTTGCAGCTTTTTGCACATGCCGTGGAAACACGTTAGCTGTGACCTCGCCACTCTGTGGAGTATGTGCTTATTGTTCTGGCTTTTCTGGTACATTAATATGTGCATCAGTTATCTCGTAAAAATAACTTTTGTTAACTTATTCCTGTTGTCTTGTCTTGTGCCAATTTAAGACTCTAGTGTATTGATGCTTTCTTTGTGTGTTGTGGCTTTAACTTCAACAGAGGGTTGATAATTATTGACAGTATTGCTACATTCTTCTAATTCTGCTTCTGCGTGAGTCCAAATACTGCTTATGTCAACAAGTACAGAAAATGTTTTAACTACATGTCTGCATAGCTCCCAAAAAAATCAAAAAGTAGTCCCAAGAAACTCCGAAAGGCCTTTTGAAAACACATAGTTTGTGCCTAGATAAGGTTACTGTTTGATCTTTTCCAACTATTAAATGTAGATACTTAGTTGGCCTCTAAATTTAGCCAATGATTTGGAAATTACAGCATATTAATTGAAGAAAGCACTTTTCTTACTCCCATTCACAATTTAAGATATTCCGAATGCTTTCTAAATCACATAAATGCATAATCTATCTTTTTTGTAAAATTTAGCATAAATGTAACCTTTCAAAGCTTTTGAAATCTGTTCTTCTATTTCTAAGTTTTTTTTGAAGTAGAGAATCTTATGTGGTTAAGATTTGTCTCTCAACCCCATTCTCCTGCCTTCTGTCCTTGATCCCCTAACTAATCAAGAAGGAAAATATCTTGCCGTTAGAACTGAATGAGCAATACTGATCCAGCCTGGAAATGTAGATAATTTAAATTCATTTCATAGCTGTGAGGAAAATGATCAATTCTAAGTGAAGAACTATTGGAAGAGACTTCAATTAAAAATATTGAAAGACCATTTGATGGATGAATTTAGGCATGTTATTATGAAGTATGTATGTTCTTAAATTTGGGTTAATCCTTATTTGCAGTTTAGAAACTACACCTAACTGAGCAGAAAAATGGCATTTGACACATTCATCTCATGGGAACTTAAGTTAGATTACACAAAGGATGATTCACCCTCGAATGTTAAGTAGCAAATGTTGAAAGTCTCAATATAAATTTTTTGACATTGTATGCAACACCATCTACTAGAAGTATTTGTACAAGATTTCAGTGAAATGTGTCCTCTAGATAACTATGTATAAGTAGATTGTGATACTAGAGAAGATGCTTTGAATTTCAATTCTTTTTTGTTGTAAACCACAGAGCGGTGAAGCGATGAGACAGTACACTGGAACAATCGACTGTTTTATGAAGATCTTTAAGAATGAAGGAATAGGTGCTTTCTTCAGAGGAGCGTTTTCAAATATCTTACGTGGCACTGGTGGTGCTTTAGTGCTTGTGTTCTATGATGAAATTAAGAAATTGCTAATATTGCTGGAAGAGAAAATAATTTAAAGTTAATTTCTTCAGAATTCAAGTATGTGAATTCAGTGTTATACATTTGCTTGAATGGATTTTCCCTCAGGCAATGTATTTTATAATTAGAAAAAAAAAATTTAGTCTTTTACTTGCTCTTTGATTTAATTATTGGGGTATTTCAGCGCTTGACCCTTAAATATGACCATTCAGTTAAAGTTCCTAGTGCTGTATGTTATGAGTTAATGAGATATGTACTTGCTGCTCTAGATGACTATATTACAAAATCCTGACTGGTCATGAAAATTCATAGGTCAGGCATTCTGCCCTTCTAATTTAAAAAAAAAACGGTGTATATTGGAAAGAATCTGGAAACGTGACTAATTCTTTTCTTGTATGTCCCAATTGATGTTTCCTTGCCTATCAAAACATTCTCTGCTTGTATGCAGTTCTTAGCTTCGTTGACTGCTATATTTAGGAGATTCTTCAGGTTCCAGTAGAACATGCCTAAATATCTAGACCACCAGATAAGTGGCCAGGAGTTTCCAAAGGTTAGATAGTCGTCTCTGCAGCATAAATGTGAGTTCCATGTTGGGCCCCTGCAGAATCTCTAACACAGCTTATTTTACAGGAAATTAAAGATTTCTGCTGGGCAGTTCCTCTTCATCCTGAATCTTCCAAAAGTATATTATTTAACATGCATTTAAATCAGAATTCAGAGGGTTCTGCTGCATGTAAGGTAATAGTTACCCCATAAAAATTAGACAATTAGAAACTCTGTCAACTATTAAACTGATGCCCCAACTTAACACACAAACCCAAACTACATCTTCCCTTACTACCTCCTCATCCTGACCCCACACTCTCCTTCCCCCTTAAATGCAACACCACTCTCCACCCTGCAGAGACCCAGTATTCCCCTTCCACTCAGGTACCTGACAACCCTTCTCACCCTGGAATATAACATACCATCTCTGCCCAACACCTGTCACCATCCCTCCCTCCCCACTGGACTCCCACCACTGCCCCTGACTTATCCTAAATATACTTCTATACCTAACATACTTACATACCTTACATATTTATCCTTTCACAGGTGCTGTTAAAGTGGCAGTAAAGAATACAGCAGTTACTGTTAATAGAAAAGGGGTCATGTTTTACCTTCACTATGAGGACACAGTTGGATTTTCAGAATAGTTTATCTTTCTGCAAGAATTGTGTACAGAATCTCCTGCCAGAAATGTGGAGCTTTATCTTATTTTTTTTTAAAAAAAGTAGGAGCAGAGTGGCAATCTGACTAGTGTTGCCACTCCTCAGAAAACCCAGCCTGGTATTATGAAATTCTCACAAATGGAAACAGGTTTGGAGAGTAAAATACTAATGGTTTTATCTCTAGAGCAGATAACATATAATTTAAATGAATTCAACTGTTTTTAAAAATGTCAAAGTGCATTTTGGTTTGAACGCAGAAACAATATTAATGCTGAATGCAACAAGTTAGCAGTATTGTTTCTGTTATCTTTTAAGCTGTTATTAGTTATTCTGGCCATAATTCCATAAATCCAGCAAAATAGTTTCTTCCAAATCAAAACTGCGTGGTCCAAAATTGAACCATATACATTGAGAAAATCCCAAATGAGATCTTTAATCTGTGTTTAATTAGCTGATTGCTGGATTTTTACCAAGGAGAACACTGAATTCAGCGTAACCGCTCCAAGATAAGGAAGAGTGAAATAGGGACATTACTTTGGGTTATTTGTATGGTAACTACCTGCAGGATAAAATGTAGAGGAAAAACAAAATTAGCATAAAAGAAGCCACTCGGTCTGTCAGAACACACTTCTCTAAAACACCGATTTCAATATTTCCTACTGCTCTGCCCGTTTATCTTTTTAATCTATTTATTTTCAAATAATTATGCATGCCATCAGGATGCTGATGGGACTTTCAAAATCTTAATGCAACATTCTGAAACTACATTCTACTAGGAACACATTAAAACAGCAATAAATTAATGCATTCCCAGATAGCAGCATAATATACAATATATGATTATTAATGTTTATGTTTTATGGATCAGCATATAATGCATTATATGAAAATGAAATTCTGTGGTTTTTAAATTACTTTGTAAAAGTTGCATAATTTTATGTACTCGCTAGTCTGTTTCATTAACAAAGTTATTCTAGGTCATAGATTTGGGACTGAAAACTGCAAAATTGCAGGTTGAAGGTCTTGAGGTGGCTGATGTTAGAGCCAAGTTATTCCACGGTGCCAGAGAGAGAGGGTTAGGCTCAGGCATTCCTCAGCTCAGCACCAGAGGCATTGCTGCTGGATTCATGTTCAGGACTGGGGCTTTGACACTTTGAAGCGTTCCGGGCAAAACAAAGAAAAGCAGGGCAGGGGCAGATGTCACTGGACCCCAACTCAAGGCATGGTGTTGGAGAAGAGAGAGGCCACAACCCATTTTCTGTTTCTGTGATTTAGAATTTGGGAGCTATCTTCTTAATGGCTGCAATAAAAATGAATTGCCTAGGTTCTTTCAAGAGTTACTATGCTGGAATTTGAGGGAATATGGCACTGCTTTCTTGCACAAAAATGTAATTCCACTCTTTAATCACCCCCAGCCCCATAAAATCAACAGCACTGTTCAATTAGAGATAGTAGGAATTGCAGATGCTGGAGAATCTGAGACAACAAGGTGCAGGGCTGGATGAACACAGCAGGCCAAGCAGCAGCATAGGAGCAGAATGATGCTGCTTGGCCAGCACTGTTCAATTTGCTGGATTAATGCTGCTTTGATCATGGCTGCCCACTTGGTCTGAACCAGAACAAACAGAACCATACAATTGACCTTGCAGTGGCCTGATTTATTGCCCAAGATCACAGTCAGTTAAACAAAGGTATTTTATATTGAACTTTTTCACATTGCCATTTTATTTTGGCAATGCACAAATAATTAATGTTTTTAAACATTCCTGATTTATAGAATTGAATTTTTGAAAATAATCAACTGTTGTCTAGTCCCTTAACAATATCAGTTAATAATTTTATGAATCATACACCTGCTTATTTTAAAACCCATGTTCAGTACATCAGTAAATATTTTGAATGAACGAATAAATGTAAAATTGGTATTTTTGAGATATGTTAGTTGTTGGAGATCACTTCACTTTAAGGGGCAAGGGTGGTGTGGTCCCCAGTAGAAAAGTTGGCAGTGAGCTGACAGACACAATAAACCAGCCCTGCAGCCATAACGTGTTGCTGAGATAAATTAATAGAGTGTAAATTCTGCTGCTTAGTGGTAGGAAGCCCCACTCTCTGAAGCTGCCAGGAGTGAAGGCAGGCCTGTGGAACCCTAACCAAGTAAGTCTGGCATTATGCAAGGAAGGGTATTGCCACCTAGTGTCATAGGGTCTGTTTCTCTGCTGTTTTGACTCTTTTTTTGGTTCAACCAGTCCTTGCTTACCATAATCCCAAACTAAACTAATCTCACCTACCTCCCTTGGCCATATCCCTCCAAACATTTCTTATTTTCTTGTACTTGCCCAAATGTCTTTTAAATGATGTAACTGCACCCATATCCACCACTTCCTCTGGAAATTCATTGCATACACAAACCACTTTCCATGTAAAACAAATTGTCCCTCATGTTGTCTTTAAATTTTTCTCCTCCCACCTTAAAAATATACCTTCCAGTCTTGACATTCCCCACCCTAGGGAAAAGACACCTGCCATTCACCTTATCTTTATCTCATGATTTTATAAATCTCTATAAGGTTATCTCTCCACCTCCTATACTCCAGTGAAAAACATCCCAGCCTATCCAGCCTCTCCTTTTAACTCAAACCCTCCATTCCCAGCAACATCCTGGTTAATCTTTCTTGAAGTCTCTCCAGTTTAATAATGTTCCTATAATGGGCGACCAGAACTGGACACAGTACTCCAGAAGAAGCCTCCCCAATGCCCTGTACAACCTCAATACGACATTCCAACTCAAAGGTCTGAGCATTGAAGGCAAGCATGCTAAACGCCTTCTTAACAACCCTGTCTACATGTGACGCAAACTTCAAAGAATTATGTATCTGAACCGGTAGGTCTGTTTTCTACAACACTACTCAAGACTCTACCTTTTAATTGTATAAGTCCTGTCCTTATTTGTTTTACCAAAATGCAATACCTTGCATTTACTCAAAGTCCATCTGCCACTCCTCAGCCCATTGACCCAATTGATTGAGATCTCTTAATAATCTTAGAAAACCTTCTTCATTGTCGACGATACCACCAATTTTGGTCTTACCCACAATTTTACTAACCATAGTAACCATACCTTCTATAATCTCATCTAAATCAATGACAAAAGTGGACCCAGCACCGATCCCTGTGGAACACTGCTGGTAACAGGTCTCCAGTCTGTAAACCAACCCTCCACCATCACTCTCTGTTCTCCTGCCATTAAGCCAATTTTGTATCCAATTGGCAAGCTCACCCTGAATCCCATGTGATCTAAGTTTACTAATTAGTCTACCATGTAGAACCTTGTAAAAGGCTTTACTAAATATCCAAGTAAACAATGTCTACTGTTGTCTTGGTTACTCCCTCAAAAAAACAAATTTTGTGAAACATGATTTCCCTTACACAAAACTGTGCTTACTATTCCTAATAATTCCTTGCCTCTCCAAATGCATATAAATCCTATCTTTCACAATCACCTCCACCAACCTAACCCATCACAAGTCAGACCACAGGTCTACAGTTCCCATGCTTCTCTTTACCTCCCTTCTCATAGCATTACCCAGTCATCCAGTACTTCATTCATAGCTATAGATGATACAAATATTTCTGCAAGTGACCCTGAATTCCCTCCCTAACTTTGCACAATGTCCTGGGATAGACTCGATCAGGTCCTGGACATTTTTCCACCTCTATAATTTCTAAGACTTCCAGTACTACTACTACTTTAATGTGAACTGTTTTCAAAACATCAATATTTATTTCCCCCGAGTCCCCTAGCCTTCGTCTCTTTCTCCACAGCAAAAACTGACATGAAATATTCATTTTACTATCTCTCCCACCTGCTAAGGTTCAAAACAAAGACGGGCCCTTTGATCTTTAAGGAACCTTATTCTAGTTGCTCTCTTGCTCATAATATAAAGAAAAAGATGAAGGATTGGGGTTTAAATGTCATGCAGGTTGGAAGTACTGATGACTCAGTACTCCTCCATGTTGGACAACACTTAGAGGAAGCACCGAAGATAGCAGGGGTGCAAAATGTACTCTAGGTGGGGATTTTAAAGTCTGCCACCAACAGTGGCTCTGCAGCAGCATTGGTGATTAACCTGATCAGGCACTGCTAGATTGGGTCTGTATTAGATGGTGAGGGAACTAACGAGAGGAAAAACATACTTGATCTTATCTTCACCAATCTGCTGGCTGCAGATGCATCTGTCCATGACCGTATCAGTAAGAGTGACCACCACATAGTCCTTATGAGATGAAGTCCCACCTTCACATTGAGAATCCTGTCTATCATGTTGTGTGCCTTTTATCACCATGTTAAATGGGACAGACTTTGAACAGATGTACCAACTCGACTGGGCATCCATGAGGCACTGTGGACCATCAACAGCAGCAGAATTGTACTCCAGCACAACTTGTTCAACAGCCTCAAATGGCTTCATTTGCAACTCTTAACAAATCACTTAGATTGACTGGAGTAGCAGATGGCATATAGAAACAATCGTGCAGGAGGCCGAAAGGCTCATGAAACAGGAGTTACAGGAAGGTGGCCACACCCAAGGTTGAAGCAAATAGATAGATGATGGTCACAAGGCACAAGCAGGCATAATTAAAAATCTTGTACCTAAATGCATGTATTTGGAATAAAGTTGATGAGCTGACAGCACAAAGAGACAAGTAGGTATGACCTGGTGGAGACTACTGAAAGGTGGTTGCAGGAAGATCAGAATGAGGAGTTAAATGTCTGAGAGTACTGTGTATTCCAGAAGTATAGACAAGAAGGAGCAGGAGGTAGAGTTATTTTTTTGGTTAAGGATGACATCAAGGTTGTATTAAGAAATGATACTGGCATTGGGGTGAAAATATTGAATCTGTCTGGGTGGAAATAAAAAGTAAGGGAAGGAAACCCTTGGTAGGAGTAATTTACAGGCCCCAGAAATAGGGCGCAGTGTAAACCAGGAAATAATGAGGGCTTGTGTAAAGGGCACAATGGTAATTATGGTTAATTTAAAATGCATATTGATTGGCTTAACCAATTTAGCAAGGGTAACCTCGGGGAACATTTCATAGGGCACGAAGGATTGTTTCTTGGAGCAATACACATGGAGCCAACCAGAGAATTGGCTACTTTAGGTTTGGTACTATGTAACGAGGAAGGATTGATAAATGGTCTTGTAGTTAAAGATCCTCTTGGAAGGAGTGATCACAACATGCTAGAGTTTCAAATTCGGATTGAAAGAGTGAAGACTGAGTCACGTACTAGAGTTTTAGCATTGGGAAAAGGTACTATACAGGCCTGAGGAAGGAGTTGGCCCTAATGGACTAGGCAAAAATATTAAAGGGCAGGACAGTTGAAGGACAGTGGCCTAGGGAGATGCTTAATACCTCTCAATTAAAGTATATTCCTGAGATGAAAGGTGAAAAATCATCCATGGCTTAACAATGAAGCCAAGGATAACATAAAAGCAAAAATTATAGCATATCATACTGTAAAAGTTAACAGTGGTCTGGAGGATTGAGAGAAGTTTAATCACCAGCAAAAGGTTACTAAAAGCAAAATCAAAAGAGCTAAGATGACTTTGGAAAGGAACCTAGCAGAAAACACAAGCACTGATACCAAAAGCTTCTATTAATATATGAAAAGGAAGTAAATTACCAAAGTAAATGTTGGTCCTTTAGAGGATGAAAATGACTAGGTAAAAATTGGAAACTCCAAAATG